AGTCACCCATCTGCAGAGTTCTTGACTTTCCTGCTACTGAAATGGAAAGACAAGAAGAGGTATGGTTTCCACATGTTCAGGCATGGGTAGGCATTGCCCTAGTGTGTCCATAATTTGTCACTCAGGTAGACATCTGAGGTTCCCTGGAAGATAAGAAATACACTCCAGTTCTATCATCTTTCTTATGGTGTCTTCGGGCTGTTGAGGGAGAGGAACAATTCGCACATCATTTTCTGTAAACTAGTAGCCTGTCCTGCTATAGCCTGCTTATAGATTTTTCTATTTGCACAGTCTCCAATTTGGAGACTGGAAGGAAAGAAATTGTGCTATTCAGATAATAGCGTTAAGTAGAACAGAATGAATTTTATCTAAAAATCCAAAATACAGGAGGATGATTGCTTAGAAAGACTAAAAAGCCTACATAAATCAAAATAGAAAAAAAAAAGACCATTGTTTAATTTATTAAGAGAGACAATAAGCATCAAAATAAAATTATGAGATGCGCAGCTACTTTATCCCTTACATATGTTGTTTTTCATAGCATATTTCTTCTTTCATAACTGAGTTAGTCTTCACTATTCTTTGAAAAATCGACAATAGTGAATGTCACTTAAAGTTGTAATATATGAATAAAAGAATGCTGTAAGATAAAAGTGCAACTTAAAAAAGAGAGGACAACAAGCTCTAGCACATGAAAAAAAACATTTCTTTCTTGGGAGACGGGTCACAAAAATAAATATGTAGCTGACATTTCTTTGTATCTTACTCAAGCAGAGTAAAGCTAAAATTATCTCACATGCCTATAGGCTGCCTCAGTGTAAAGCATAGAAATGTAGAAGGAATTATTTCATATGTGCATTTTCATTTGCTTCCTTTCTAAGATACAAAAGCAGCTCATTCTAGTTGCTGAGAAATCATTTGGTAAAATAAATCCTTTAAAAATAGAAGACATTTCCACTTAAATATTTTTCAGACACTTCATGATAGAAGTGAAGTACTTTAACCAGAGGCAAATCCAGCTGCTTAGACTGACCTTGGAAAAATACATTACATGAGCTGGCTAAAAATAAAAATATTATTTGGGAAGAGAAGCTATATGTCAATTTTCCTCTTAGAGCTTTCTATGCTGGGGTAACTATCAATATTGAAGGAATGTGTCTAGTACTAAACAAAATTATTTGTTTTATAGCAGAGGTAAAACCTGTGATGTGTCCTTTATAAGTAACTGTCAGTCTTTCTCTGCAACCTAGTGGTAAGATGAGCAAGAAAAAGAAGAGTGATCTATTAGAAACAGTCTAATTTGCTTAGTGACACATGCAAATGCAAGGCTTGCTAGATCAGATACAATTTAAAGATATTGTGAGATAAATGGGCCTTGTAAATTTGTAATTGTACAATGTTCTACCCAAGTTGGCACTCAGTGGAAAAAAACAGCAATGAACATCTCTTTAAAAAGAAACATCTGGAATCATGGCTGCTGCTGTTTTGCTTCTGCAACCACTCTGGTTTCTATAACAGCCTGATGATCAGATCATTTACTCATGACTTGAGAGGACTGTGTTCTCAGTTTTGAAACCTCACGTCTTCCACTTCCCCAGACTGTGCGTTAACCACCAGGGTTAGTGCTTCCATTCCTCTCTTTCAGTTGTCTCACTATGCACCAAGAAATGTAAGCCAGACAGCCACAGGAGAGTATGGCACTGTGGCCTAGAAATTAGAGATGCTTGGATGGATTCAGACTCTCAGGGTTATGTCGGTTCTTACCTCAGGAGATTTGATATGAAGCCTGGGAAAATGCTGAATGCACCCATCCTCCTTTTTTCTTCTATAATTTTAAAGAGAACTGGATGCCTGTTTTCAGCTAAAGACGCTGGAATTTGAATGTTTCTGCTCACCTTTTTCTAAGTTCTGAAAATTGGTCAAAGTTCAGACTCATATAAAACTTTTTTTACCTAGTTACTCTCCTGTCCATCATGTAGATATTTTTTGTAACTCCTCCAAGGTGTCTATTTCCCTTCCTGTACTTCCTGTATAGAGAAAATGGTTTTGGGCAGGTGAATTTCTGCTCTTGGAGGCCTAGGAGCCTGCAAATTGATGTCACTGTGCCTGTCGTCTTTGGATCTCTCCCAGAGTAATTTCAGAGAACTGCTGTCTTGTTCTTGCAAATCTAACTGGTTATTTTGCTATCAGACATGTAGGTGTACCCGAAGCTCCCACATGATGCAAAATTTTCTGCCTCAGGCCAGCAGTTTTGCCCATAGTCTCTATTTTTCAATATCTGGAGTTACAGGTAAAATAGAATAAGACAAGGTGATATGGGGAAAGCTTTATTACCTGTAACTTCCTTATAAAATCAAATTTGATCTTTCTCTGTAACTAGAAGCATTTGGAGCACTCATTTGTATTTTGTTCGGCTCTTCTTTTGTGAACATTGCCTCTTTCTACTATGTGAATATGCAGCGGGGAATTTACTCCCACTGAACTGAATGATTAAAAACAAGACTTCAGTGAAAAATGCTCTGCTGGATAATACAGTAGAACCTCTACAGTGCTATTCAACTAATAAGTATTGGTTCCCCGTGGTGCATTTTGTGGGAATGGTGAGCTCCTGCAAGGTTTCTATAAAGCAAAATAGATGCCTGTTTGTTCAAGAGTGCTCAGTTGTTGTATGACCTGCCCTCAGAAGGGCTGAAAGAGAGGAAAAATACAGCTGAGTTTTATGAAGTTGTTAAAGCAACAATTTCATAACTTTGAACACCTTTTTTTTTTTTTTAATTATACTTTTGCTTGTTCAGGCAAATGCTATGGTATGTTCTGTTGGAAACATAATTGTACGTAGTGAATATGCCTGCCATCTGTATGTACTCTGATACAGCTGCCTCATACTGACCTTTTATTTAGTCACATTAATTATGAAGTTGACATAGGTTATTAGCAGGATTATCTGCTTGACTTGACTGTGGAGTTTTGCTTAAATGTTGAATATATAATATTGCCCTAAATTCCTTGACATTTTCAGCAAATAACTATCTCTCAATTTTAGTCAAGAAAATTTGTGCTGTCAGGTTCAGACATTGCCCTCATATTGAAAGCCTGCTTTATAATATTACCATCTGCCCATTGTAGTGAAAGATAGATCTGGCTTTCATACTTACCCTGTAATTTTTTTTTTTTGTAAAAGCATACCATTATCCATACAACAAACATTTCTGACATACTGACTGATACGTAGTTACCTCCCCCTTCTCTTAGATGCTACTTTGTTCCAGTAAAAAAAGAACACAAGAAATAGTTTAATGAAGTTACGTGTTGTGTTTCTGGTCTCTTACACATTTCAGATAATTCAGTATGTTCATTCTACATGCAGAAAATTATTTTCTGAAATATTTTACCTATTGATCTTAAAACTGTAAATCTAGATCTGACATTGAGTACTTATTATTTATCTGTTTTCCCCTATCATTAAATTTCACAAACTTAAGATTTCTGAAATCTTTCAAAGAATGCTTTGTTTTATTTTATTTTTGTTCTTCAAATCATTAGGAGGTGGGGTTTTTTTTGCTAGTAATCTCTTCCAAAGTCTTCTCATTTTAAGGAGAAAAAGCAAATCCCAAATACTTCATATCACAAGGAAAATGAGAACTTAATGCATATCTGTGCCTTCCTCCTCATACATACTATGTTAGATCAGATCATAGCATCAGACAGATTCTTTGGTCTTGTCTTTTTTGTCTCTCTCTGTGTGTGTGTGTGCCTTGAAATGGCATAGCTGCTGCATGATTTCTGTCTTCTTTTATGTTCTGAGTGAGGTATCATCAAGGGAGGCAAGTACAGTACATGATGAGGTGAGTTGACAAATGCTGATTTTATTTCACATAAAAAGTATTGCTGTTATCTGAATAATAATTCTGCAAAGCCTGTCTTCTGACTTGTCTAAGCTGATTTTTACCTTCTTCTCTGCTCTCCTCAAGATATTTGTGTGTAACAGAAATGGTGATTTATGAAGAGATTATTTAAAACACATGGAGTTGTAATTTCACTATTTCCATTGAAATTCTAGTGTAACAACAGATTTGGTCAAACTGTCAGACCTTCTTTGAGCTAGAAAGCTATCAGATCTTTTTCTCTTTCTGTGTTTTGCTGCATGTTTTCAATGTTAAGCTATCTGTGCTATCTCCTTTAAGCCCAGAGTCTTTGGAAAATGCTAGAAATTTTTCCAGTGTTATGGCTGATGGTCAGAACATACTCATATTTTATCCCTAGCTAGATGATGCCTTGTATGGATTTCTTCCTCCTCATAAAGTAAGGTCTCTACAGCCATTCCCAAGATTTTCTAGGGGGTGTTCCATTGATCCAAGGCACTGCCTCACTTGAGAACGAGGGCTGTGTGAGTGACATACCCTATGTAGGTACATGGACATACACATATATATGTTTTGCAATCTTCTGCAGTTCTCCCTTGTAGTAAACCCTCTCCCTAATCCCTTCTAGGATGATTAGGTAAAAATTACAGATGTGTAACTATAGCTAGGGCAGGAATCCAAAGAGCAAGGACACAGTGTATATCATCTTGTTTCCAGCTTTTAAGGGCATCGAGTTATTATCAATTTCAGGATATTCACATAAATCACTTCCTTAAGTTATTCTCACGTTTCCTTTATTCTCTTTCATATTACTGTCCCTGTGTATGCATGAACACAGGGAAGACCCGATGGTTACTCCCCATACGCATAAATTTTGCATAAAGGTAAACTCGCTCTGGTTACTTAAGTTTAGTAGTAGCTCTGGATTTAAGCAAAAGTCTTGCTTTTCAGTATGAGTAAGGATGAAACAATCTCATCCTTTGAAATTCATGTATATTTCACAGATTCTTTTGGTAAAATAGAGGATTGCTTTTTTAAAATTTGTCTTGTCCAACTACAAGGGGTCTTTCTACCTCCTGCATAGCTGTGGAAATACATACAAAAGTATTTATAGGATAATACATTACGCAAACTTACAGCTTTCCAGCTGCATTATACATGTTTGCACATCCATTGGAAAATTTTTGAGATCCATTGGACAGGATAGTATTAAAGTCAATCTGAAAGAACACAAAAAAAAAATTAAAAATATGCCACAAAAATGCCATAGAACTGCGCAAAAAGAATGCATGAAAACACTAGAAGTCATTAGAAATAAAAGAAAATACATTTTTTCATCAGAAAGCTCTCAAAAGTTATGTATATTGGCTGAACTCATTTAACTCGTTCAGCCTAGTATGACAACGTGGAAAAAAATTATTACAGACTTTCAAAAAACCAAATTTTTCACTACCGTTGCCTAACTTTATGAAAATCTAAAGGAACGCAGCAACAGCATGCTTTTTTTGTGCTGCAGCAGAATTATTGTACTGTTACAGTATTTCAAATCCTTGACATAAAATTTACCCAGATTTGCAAGAATTTCATAACAGATGTCAGCTGCAAATCATAGTGGCAAAGTAATTTATGTGTTATTGTCCTAAAATAAGGTGCTCAAATTGTCAACACAAAGGTTTAAGATAACATTTTATGATATTGATGGTAGACTGAAATATGCCTGTGATTTTGAACTGCAGCTGTTTCACATTAGTCCTGACATCTTCTGTGAAATACTTTTCAACCTATAGGCAAAAGAGGCATTTTTACATTTTACATAGCAATACAATAACTTATCTTTAGAGTGATACTTCTCGGAGGAATGAGAAAGAATGTAAGAGGTAAAGGCACGTTTTCCCTCACTGGCCATATTTAGGTATGCAGTCATGATTCAGGGCCATGATTGCACCTTTCTTCTTGCTAGAAAATATCTTGCATGAAAATTTTATCCCACATTCATTTATCGGTTCAGTTGATAGAATGTTGTCCAAAAACCTGAGGGGCTTGAGCTCAATTCCTTATGTATAAGGCTTTTCTAGAACGACAGTGTTCTAATCCCGCTCTCTTAAACCCATTCCTGTGGTTTTGGCATTGAGGCTAAACTGAAATGGGCAGTAGGTGGCAAGTATGGCTGTAAATTTCTTTTACCATACTTTTTGCCTCTCCAAAGCTCCTTGATTTTTTTTTGGTTGTAACTTTTGTTTAGCTTGCCAGTGACTGAGCTGCCGGGGGACAGTCTGAGGAGGGAACTCAGACCCAGGCCCTATTCTTATGCCATCAAAAATGGTTCCAAATTCAATATCTGACTAGTAGGCTAATAACATGGCATTTCATAGAAGAGGCACCTGGACTTTACTTCATGCTTCAGTAAGTATTTTAGTATTAATTGAATGGGGAACGGGAATCTTCTCATTATTTTCTTGTCTGAACAGTTCCAGTGCAATTAGGGGAGGAGGAGACATTAGGGAATGAACAGAAAAAGCCAATTTAGAAATATTTTTTTTCCTCTTAATATCACATTAGCAATTAGCATGTCTCTACTCATCAAAAGCTTAACAGACTCAAATTCACATAACAACTCAACTAGATGCCAATTATATGATTTTAAATCTATTTCAGAAATTGTAATAGTTCTTAATTAAATCATGGCAACATAAACTTTCTGGCTCAATAAGAAACACAGGAGCTATCTGGCATCTGCTTTCATCATAGTCAATGTTTGCTTTTATAATTAAATATTATAATATTTCTCACGTTTGGTTTTTTTTTTTTTTCCACATTTCATGTGACCATGAACTTGGTCTGAATTCTATTGAAGTTGCAATCCAGAATTGCTTCAATTGAGTGGTGGTGTCTATACGCTGTGTCGTATGTATCTGGGGGGAATAGGGCAAGGAGGAGGAGTTATTTGATTAGAGTGAAACAACTGCCAGTGCCTCTCAGGGTGACTCAGACAGTCTGGAGGTAATTGATTTAGCTCTACTTTCTACTTGGGTCCGGAGAAGGAATCCTTTTTACTTGCTTTTCATCTGTTTCTAGTAACAGAACACATGTTGTGACATTGAAGAATGATTATGTTCCCAGACTAGTGGACTGACCTCTTTTTGGATACAGAATGCTCATAGGAATTTTAACCGAACCCTTTCTCTCTGTGTAATCTTGACAAGACACTGCCCACTTGCACTAGAAGGAGGGAGGAAGGAGATTCCCTTGCCACTGATAGAACCACACACGTCACAAATGTTTTCTTTTTCTCTTAGTATACAAACTGTTTTACAGATTCCTGACATCTCTTCAAAAAGTCCAATTAGCCACTAATGCAGTGTCATAAAAAAATGCAAAGCAAAGGCTAGGTGGACAAGAGGTGTATTTATTTTAAAAGTGTAACATTTTGCACAAGTAGGTCACTGTATTAATACCAAATCTATACCACGTCTAAGGAGGCATTAGTATCCTTATATCCAATGTGTTTTTCATTAGAGTATGTTTTTGAAGATAGAGGTAAAAGGCCTACCAGTGTTTGCATTAATAAAAAGAAAGTAGGGAGAAGAGAAGATAAAAGAAGTGCTGCTTACAGCTTCTTAAAACTTTAAAAAAGTTTACTTTCCCTTTTTCTCTCCATCTCCAGCAGTAAGTGAACTATTCTTTAAATGTCACACTTCTTCAAACAGGTCATGTTTCCATGTTGAAGTGTAACTGCAATATCTAAAACGGTGAAAAAGAAATAACATTGGATTGTCATGAAATTGGAGGCTACAGCCTGTGAAACTCCTACATGGGCCAGCTCAGATTATAATACTCCAGGATTATTTGCTCTGTGCAAGTGTCCGAGTTCCTCTAGGCTCAGTACCTGTACTCTAAAATAGGAAAGATACTTTTTTTATTATTTTTACTATGTGCATGCCTAATGAGCGATCATTTTCTATTTCGGTATTAACAATGAACAGTAATGATGATAAAGTTCTGTATTCGAAAACCACAAGTACTTTAGTTCTAGTTCTTCATGGCTAGCAACTGAAGATACCCATTGGCAATTCTGAGGTACACTTTTGAGCTTCTATCAAAAAAAAATCATTTAATTAGAGACTCACCTGATGGAATAAAGTACATTTCCATTTTTGAAAATTCGCAACAACTTATTATCTGTTGTAACTTCATGAAAGTTAGCACCTTTTTCATTAGCAAAGAACAAATCAGGTTTCCAAATTGAATCCAGCATGGATGGATCTAAGTCTAAAGAGTCATCAGGATATTCACTGTACGCAAGGCGTGGATCATTCCAATTCTGACGGAGAAAGATGTTCACTCGGTAATCCTGAATGAAAGAGAAAACAAGCAAAGCTTTATTAAGCATAGAGATTTAGCTTTTATTTCATTTCTTAGCCATGTAATCCCCTGTCCATCTGTGGATGACAAAAGAATTACTTAGCTGAATGTCAGCATGATACCTATTTGTATTAGTGGGGACACAATGGATCAGAATAAAGATGCATTTCAGGGCAATTGAAAAAATCCCAAGCTGAGGAAATCCAACCTCCACATAGAGTTCATATAACTCCGTATAACTCTAGCCCTACAGTAATTTGTCTTGAGTATGGCATCCAGCTCTGGAGTCCTCAGTATAGGAAAGGCATGGACCTGTTGGAGCTGGTCCAGAGAGGGCCACAAAAATCATTACAGGGAGGGTACACCTCTCCTATGAGGAAAGGCTGCCAGAGGTGAGGTTGTTGAGCCTGAAGAAGAGAAGGCTCCAGGAAGACCTTACTGCAGACTTTCAGTACATCAAGTAGGCCTATAAGAAAGCTGGGGACAAATTTTTTAGCAGGGCCTGCTGCAATAGAACAAAAGCCAATGGTTTTAAACTAAAAGAGGGTAGATTTAGACTAGATATAAGGAAGAAATTTTTTACAATGAGAGTGGTGAAATGCTGGAATAGATTTCCCAGAGAGGTGGTAGATGCTCCATCCCTGAAAACATTGAAGGTCAGGTTGGATGGGGCTCTCAGCAACCTGATCTACTTGAAGATGTCTCTGATCCCTGTAGGGGAGTTGGACTAGATGACCTTTAAAGGTCCCTTCCAACCCAAACTATTCTATTATTCTATGATTCTATACAATCAAAATGAGAGAAGCATTAAAAGATTTTTATGGAGTTACCTTTTTGTGCCCAGCTTCTGGTGTAGGCATTCCTACTTCCCTCTCTTAGGCAGTGAGAAACTGTCCCACTGTAAGGGAGCTAAATTAATTTATTTTTTCTTTCTCTAATCCTTACATATTTTAGACTCACCACTTAGACTTTCTGTGCCTCAGTTCCCTGTGGAAAGTTGTGTGGACAGTAAATTGCCATACAGCCGTCTGAGGAGGACACATGTTCCTCCTCTTTTCAAATGTGATGAAGATCATATAAATCCTTATGATAAATTAGCTTAGGTATCAGTGGAGTCACATTAATTTGTACAGACATTCCTGTCTTAATCAAGGGTGCTTTTACAGAAAAGATGAGTGGAGTGCTTCAAAATTCTGGACATCATTTTGGAATTGTATATACTCTCTGTCAGAGACAATGTTGAATTTAAGGCTGCACACTTTCCTAAAACTTTACTACTCTGAAAGATGAAAATATTTGTTTTTAAATAAAAATGAATACTAGCATCTCATTACATTATGTCAAGAAATGAGAGAATTGAGACACTGAGCGTAAGGACATAGGGACTATACTTATATCGGTCATTGACAGGCTGGAGAGATGGGCCTGTGAGAACCTCATGAAGTTCAACAAGGCCAAGTGCAAGGTCCTGAACATGGGTCGGGGCAATCCCAAGCACAAGTACAGGCTGGGTGGAGAATGGATTGAGAGCAGCCCTGAGGAAAAGGACTTGGGAGTGCTGCTGGATGAGAAGCTCAACATGAGCCAGCAATGTGCGCTGGCAGCCCAGAAAGCCAACCGTATCCTGGGCTGCATCCAAAGAAGCGTGGCCAGCAGGTCGAGGGAGGTGATTCTGCTCCTCTACTCTGCTCTCATGAGACTCCACCCAGAATACTGCGTTCAGCTCTGGAGTCCCCAACACAGGAAGGACCTGGAGCTATTGGAGTGAGTCCAGAGGAGGGTCACAAAGATGATCCGAGGGCTGGAACCTCTGCTATGGAGACAGGCTGAGAGAGTTCATAGATTCATAGATTCATAGATTCATAGATTTCTAGGTTGGAAAAGACCTTAGAGATCATCGAGTCCAACCATCCCTAATCCCCATTAAACCATATCCTCAAGTAGCTCATCCACCCTATTCTTAAACACATCCAGGGATGGGGACTCAACCACCTCCCTGGGCAGCTTATTCCAGTGGCTGACAACCCTTTCAGAGAAGAAATACTTCCTAACATCCAACCTGAATCTCCCCTGACTAAGCTTATGCCCATTTCCTCTTGTTCTATCTCCCATCACTAATGTAAAGAGCCCTTCCCCTACCTCCCCACCATCTTTTCTCAAGTATTTATAGGCCGTAATCAGGTCTCCCCTCAGCCTCCTCTTCTCAGTTGGGGCTGTTCAGCCTGGAGAAGAGAAGACTGCGGGGTGATCTTATAGCAGCCTTCCAGTACTTAAAGGGGGCCTACAGGAAAGCTGGAGAAGGACATTTTACAAGGGTATATTGTGATAAAACAAGGAGCAATGGCTTTAAACTGAAAGAGGATAGATTTCGCTTAGGTAAGAGGAAGAAATTTTTCACTCAGAGGGTGGTGAGGCAGTGGAACAGGTTACCCAGAGAAGTTGTAGATGCCCCGTCCCTGGAAGTGTTCAAGGTCAGGTTGGATGAGGCTTTGAGCAAACTGGTGTAGTGGAAGACGTCCCTGCCCATGGCAGGGTGGTTGGAACTAGATGATGCTTGAGGTCCCTTCAAACCCAAACCATTCTATGGTTCTATGATTCTATAATGTGATTGTCTTCATTATTTGCACTACTGCATTAATGAAAGAAGATAAAAATAAAATAGAAACAAAGACATGTTAGGTGTAGAGGGGAAATGGGAGCTGATTGTAGAGCTGATGTGACACTTCTGAATGTAATAGAATTAAATAACATCACTTGTTTATTGTTAAAAAATAATTAAAATTAATTTTAAAAAGAAAACTTTTTGAGCCAGGAGGGGAAATGAAGTGTTCGAGACTGAGCAATGCAATTTGGCTGATATCTATGGTGTAGTTATTAGTGGTTAGAATAGCTAGTTAAAACCCCACTGGTGTAGAAATTGTGGGTACTGTTAAAATTCCAGTGTTGTATCGATATTTGCTCTTATGAAATGAGGGAAATGCAGTCATATAGTTTTGAGAATCATACCAACAGACATAGTAAAGGACAACAGGAATCTCAATATGCAACATTTACTCGTGAGAAATAGTTTTTTACATCTTCAGCATCTTGCTGTTTTGGTCAATTTAATTACTCGGCTTGAATAAGAGTAGCCCAATGTGCTGAAAAGATGCTTACCAAACATATGTTGCTAGATAATCATAAAATTATCATATAGATAAAGTCTCAGTAGAGTGTTTTGTATTCATATAGCCTTATAAATTTTCAAGACAAAGCCAGTAAGTGGAAAACTACATCTGGAGAATGAAAATTCATATTATTGTTTTCAGCAGACATGAAAAATGCACTCTGGCCAAATGGAAGCAAATAGCATCAGGTGCCAGATAGAAAAGGCATGGGACTTGTTAATCAATTTTTTAAAAAGAAAATGTTTGTGAATTTGTTAACCCCCCTTTCAGAAAAGGATTGTAAGAAATTAACCTCATGAAGTTCAACAAGGCCAAGTGCAAGGTCCTGAACATGGGTCGGGGCAATCCCAAGCACAAGTACAGGCTGGGCGGAGAATGGATTGAGAGCAGCCCTGAGGAAAAGGACTTGGGAGTGCTGGTGGATGAGAAGCTCAACATGAGCCGGCAATGTGCGCTGGCAGCCCAGAAAGCCAACCGTATCCTGGGCTGTATCAAAAGGAGCGTGGCAAGCAGGTCGAGGGAGGGGATTCTGCCCCTACTCTGCTCTCGTGAGACCCCACCTGGAATACTGTGTTCAGCTCTGGAGTCCCCAACACAAGAAGGACCTGGAGCTACTGGAGCGAGTCCAGAGAAGGGCCACGAAGATGATCCAAGGACTGGAGCACCTCTGCTATGAAGACAGGCTGAGAGAGTTGGGGCTGTTCAGCCTGGAGAAGAGAAGGCTCTGCGGTGATCTTATAGCAGCTTTCCAGTATCTAAAGGGGGCCTACAGGAAAGCTGGAGAAGGACATTTTCCAAGGGTGTGTAGTGATAGGACAAGGGGCAATGGATTTAAACTGAAAGAGGGCAGATTTCAATTAGATATAAGGAAGAAATTTTTTACATTGAGGGTGGTGAGGCACTGGAACAGGTTGCCTAGAGAAGTTGTGGATGCCCCATCCCTGGAAGTGTTCAAGGCCAGGTTGGATGAGGCTTTGGTCAGCCTGGTGTAGTGGAGGATTTCTCTGCCCATGGCGGGGGGGTTGGAACTAGATGATCTTTGAGGTCCCTTCCAACCCTAACCATTCTGTGTTTCTGTGAAATTTCTTTTTCATCATGGGTAGTGGCAGCCTCGAGAGCCACAAAAAGTTCTTAAGAGAAGCTGCTGTTATTTTTCATAATTAGCACCATGGCGTGATGAAACCAGAGCCAGGGTTGTGTACTTTACAGATGTAGAAACAAGCTTTTTTTTTTTGTTTTCTAAATTTATCTAAAATCCTTAGACAAACTCATGCCTCAGTGTTCCTAGGACTGAACTTTTGGTGTTTTCTGTGCAGTAAGATGATGTAATACCTCTTGAAATACCCTTATTTCTTTGCATGATATCCCAAACACCATGTAGTGCTAGTTCTCCTTCTAAATTCCTGTATGAAATCAAAAAGCCAAGCAGCAACAAGTTGTGCAAGCAGTGATAGCTCTACTGCTTGTCCCAGCTTGTGGAGTCCTTGCTCTAAAGGAAACATTAGCTCTAAACTTGGGGCACTGGGTGTGAGCACTGCATCTGTCAGGACTTCATCTGCACTTCAGCCAAACCCAAACTTTAACTTTTAAGTTGTATAACCTGAAATATGTCTGTTTATTTTACTTTTCTCTGTGGAATATGATGAGTTTATGAATGAGATTATTTACATTGTGAAGGACTTCTCATGTGTATAAGTTTCAGAACAGGTGAAAAATGTATAGCGGAAAGTTCAAATAAAAATGGAAAATGAAGACAAACAGAGTAATGTTCCAGGTTATATTAAGCTATTCTGTATGTCAGTTTGCCTAGAGTTTATTGGTT